TACTTTTCTCCCCTCTTCCCTTTTTTTTTTACGCTTCCGTGTCAATGCTTTAACTCTTAAGACTGGTGGAACCCCTCTTTCACGCGAGTCCTATATTGAATATTAACGAAAGCACTGGCAAAAACACTGGAAAAGTTTAAGCAAATTAGAGAAATGTCACGGGAAAGCGAGTCTCCATACACTACAAAAACGAATTCTATAGTTAGTTACTTGCCTGTGATAAGAAGACGAAGCCCTGGTGTAACCTCTTATTCATCGAGTATACATGCAACGACGGCCCTACCCAAAACAGATCGATTGTCAGAAAATTTGTTAAAGAACTATGTCGTGGAACTCGCCAAGGAAAATTCCGAGATGATCAAGAAAATTGTCGACCTCCAGCGCGAGCGAAAGGTATTGGAAGCGCGCCTCATAGCAGCAAATGCGATGAAAACCAATATTGTCTCAAACAGTGAGAAAGAGCACACTATAGAGGATACAAAAGCGTCCGGTTGGAACTGTACCCGTGGTGTCGCCTTGACTGAAAACCTCTTGAAGGATATTCGAAGTGCAATCGAGTGTAAGGCCTGTGTTTCTGATTGTACTTACAACGGCATGCAAGTTGTGTTTGACGGTATGAAAAAGCAGGCGGTCAACACGGTGGTCTTTGATCGTGATAAAAAATTGCAAAAGCAACTCACAGGTCTCTCGCAAAGCATATCGCGCTCTGTGTGTGGTGATAACTCAAGCGAGGGGGGAGACACAGGAGCTCCTGGGGAAGCATTTGTATTGATGAATCGTGTCGTAGCACCGGCCACAGAGCGTGTTGACCAGTTTATGGGGCTTTGCATGGACCTCCTCTTTGCGTTATATAGGGCGCATGCGTGCCATCATTAGAGCAGACGGTGAGACCTAGGGGTAACCCTCCGGAATTACCCTTCCATAGCACTAGAACTACTCAGTTGAGGGTTGAATGTGCAACACAAGGTATAATTACATGCGCTTACATATTTTATTTTGAAGTAAAAAAATGCGCATGACAATCATAGCATACCAAACGCAGTATTTCACCATTTTTTCAATGTGGGACTGTTTGTTACTTATGATAAGCTTTAGTAATTGTTTCTGCTGAAAAAATACAACACGAAAAAAAAGTCTTCAGAGTCCCCTTTCCTTTTACCTACAAAGTTGTGGTCCTTGGTTTATCAGATTTTTATGAGCTGCTCTCGTTTCCGTCTTCATTTTTGATTTAAATGTTTTACCCCAACTTACTTTACACCTTTTTCACAGAGTTGATTGTTTAACTATTTCCATTTGTTTCTCTCCCTATGTGAATATTGCTATAATATCCAGAGAACATTAAAAATATATTTCAATACGTTTAAGGAAGTCATTCCCGAGCATTTATATGTTTAGTCCATTTTATCCTTTTAACAACAAATTTCCTTCTATTTTTACACGAGCACTCATTAATCCATATGCAAAAATATGGATATAATAAAAGCAGTGCAGCTAATATATCAATAACAATAATTTATTCTATCAGTTAGTGTAATCTGAAACTTTCATTAGCTCTTTTCGCATGTCATTTTTTTTTAGTTTTCTGTACATTCTTTATTCATTTGTACATACATGAACAAATCGAAGCAGAACTTTTGATGGGTTGCTTCTTTTAGGGGTTCTCCTCGTCTTTTGTTGTTTCAATCGGCTACTTAAGAATATTTGGTTACTCATTTTCCATTTTTATATCCATAGACTTATTGAAACGACGTAGGGAAAAAAAACTTTACCTTACTAGTACTCTATTGCTATCTTTTACTTTGGTAATTTCCCCTATTTTTCTCCTTCCACTGGAGCAGGAAACCAGCCATAATTCCAACCGCCATTGTTCGGAACATCGCTCAAATACGTTGCCGTGGTGCAATGGCATGGGTGAGCTCTCCACCAATGGCGAAGGTCTTGCCCGGCAAGACCTAAGCAAGCTGGATGTGAGCAAGCTCGGTGTGGACACATTGGAAGTGATGTCGCGACAGGCGACGGTTAATGTCGGCACCATCGGGCATGTTGCGCACGGTAAGTCGACCGTCGTCAAGGCTCTCACTGGCGTTAGAACGCAAAAGTATCATCGAGAGGCGGTCATGAACATCACGATTCATCTGGGCTATGCCAACGCCAAGGTCTTCCAATGCGAGACGTGCCCCCGACCTACATGTTTCCAGACCTGCCCGTCCTCGCAACCGGACGATACCCCATGCCCGCAGTGCGGCAAGTCCATGGTCCTTAAGCGGCACTTTTCCTTCGTCGACTGCCCTGGACATGACGCGCTCATGGCAACGATGCTCAGTGGCGCCGCCATCATGGATGCCGCGCTGCTGCTTATTGCTGCTAACGAGAGCTTTCCACAGCCACAGACGCTGGAGCACATAGCAGCGGCTGAGATAATGGGGGGTTGCTTTCTTATTGTTCTTCAAAACAAAATGGATCTCATCCGTAATCCGGAGCTGGCGACAGAACAGCGCGATCTAATTCAACATTATCTTGACACAAAGACAAACTACGTGGGTGCGCCGATCCTCCCCATCAGTGCTCAGCTTGAAATCAACATTCCATACCTCCTGGAGTACCTCGTGCATGTGCCACTTCCCAAACGTATGATGCGGACGCCAGATGTCCGGCTGCATGTTCTGCAAAGTTTCGATCTCTCAATTTCCGGCGATACCCTGGAGACGGCGGCACTCTGCGGTGGGGTCGTGGGGGGATCTATCAAGCAGGGTGTGCTGTGCAAAGGTGATGTGGTAGAATTTATTCCGGGTCTTATTACGGTGTCAAGGCCGGGCATGCCACTGCCATCCCGCGACGCGGCCCTCAGTGGAGCGTCAATTTCCTACCTCTCGACGCCACCACCTGGAACACTGTATTGTACTCCCCTCCGTACAACCGTGCGCAGTCTTCAAACAGAAAATAATTCTCTTGAATTTGCTATCCCTGGCGGTCTCATCGCTATGGGGACCTCTTTAGACCCAGCCTTGACACGGCAAAATAAACTGTGTGGGCAAGTTCTCCGGGTGGTGCACTCACAGCTTTATGGTGACTGCAGTAACGCGGTGGATGTTGAAGTATACCGCGAGGTTGATATCCACTTTTACCTGTTGAAAGAACTGCTCGGCCTGGCGGGACCGGTGACTCGAGCACAGCACGCAAGGCATGGCGTGAACTCCGCAGTCCGCTTGCACACTGCCCATCATCCGCCGGGTGAAAAAATTGCGTCGACACGTATTCAGCCCCTTCGCGAAGGCGAGACAATTCTTATCAGTGTTGGGACACTGACCACGGCAGCTACGGTCCTACGTACATCGCGTGCAGCCGGAAGGGCTTTTTGTCAATTGGAAAGACCTGTATGTGGTAATATCGGAGACAAGGTGGTCCTCACCCGTTATATTTGCCGTAAAGTCCGCTTAATTGGATGGGGGACCATCAAGCGAGGCGTACCGGTTCAATTTTTGTAGAAAGAGTCATTCGACGCAGAGGAAATGACTTCAAAGCAGTTCATGAATAACTATGAATAATAATAAATTTCTCAAAATATACTGAGAAAGTGAATAATATCAGCTTCATCCGCGACTTATGAACGAACACGATTTATTTACTCTTATTTGTTTCATTTAATCTTTATTCACAAAAGATTGCTGTCGTTGCACTCTTTTTTTTCATGATTTCTTTATCCCTCCTGCTGCTCTTCCTCGCACCCTCAAGAACGTGGGTGCATATCTTGTTGAGAAAGATGCGTTCACCTTTCCACATGTGTAGGTTTACATCACTTTTACATTATTTTATTTTATTAGTACAATGTTGCTTTTCTCTTTGTCTACTTCAACACTAGTTGACTTTTTCTGGAAATTAGAGCAAAATACTTACTCCAAGTCAGGTATATTTATCGATGCTGAAATCGATCATATTGACAGAAGATAGCAAGAGTAAGTATTGGGAGGTGGATGGTTTAAGTTTCTTTTGAGATGTGTGCATTCGTGAATAGATCATGAAAAACGTATTCACGTGCGTTTCATGAATACGTAAACGTAAAATACTTCGCTACCTGACAAAATGAAGTTTAACTTCGGTTGTGACGCAACATCTATGCTATCTCGTTCTTCCCTGTCACTTTTCTTATTTAAATTCCTTCCCTTTCTCCAGCACATATCTTTACAGTGTTAACGACTACAATTTCCGAAGTGAAACAAAAAAAGGAAAGAAGGAAATTAAGATCGTGGACGACCGTTTTTCATCTTAAACGTATTACAGTGTCCCTTAAAAATTAGTGGAGCGCAGTGATATATTTCATTACTAAAGTTACAGAAGAGTAATATACAATAATATAGGGATATTAAAATGGGGGAAGCTGACATTGCAGACTTCACTTTGGATGAGAATATCATCATTGACACAGACAAAGGTCTTGCCCGGCAAGACCTAAGCAAGCTGGATGTGAGCAAGCTCGGTGTGGACACATTGGAAGTGATGTCGAGACAGGCGACGGTTAATGTCGGCACCATCGGGCATGTTGCGCACGGTAAGTCGACCGTCGTCAAGGCTCTCAGTGGCGTTAGAACGCAAAAGTATCATCGAGAGGCGGTCATGAACATCACGATTCATCTGGGCTATGCCAACGCCAAGGTCTTCCAATGCGAGACGTGCCCCCGACCTACATGTTTCCAGACCTACCCGTCCTCGCAACCGGACGATACCCCATGCCCGCAGTGCGGCAAGTCCATGGTCCTTAAGCGGCACTTTTCCTTCGTCGACTGCCCTGGACACGACGTCCTCATGGCAACGATGCTCAATGGCGCCGCCATCATGGATGCCGCGCTGCTGCTTATTGCTGCTAACGAGAGCTTTCCACAGCCGCAGACGCTGGAGCATCTTAAGGCTGTAGAGATTATGAAACTACGCCATTTGATAGTCTTACAGAATAAAATCGACCTTGTGGGTGAGGTGCACGCTCATGACCAATACCGGCAGATTCGGTCCTACTTGGATAACATAGCGCTCAATGCCCCGATTGTGCCGATCTCCGCCCAGCTCAAACGCAATGTCAATTTTCTATTGGAATACCTCGTGCATGTGCCTCTGCCAACTCGTCAATTGCGCTGTCCCGCACGCATGACGATTGTTCGTTCATTCGACATCAACAAGCCAGGAGAGGGCGATATCGAAAATCTGAAAGGGGGAGTAGCAGGCGGCACCGTTACACAGGGTGTCATTCGACTGGGGCAAGTGCTGGAAATCCGCCCTGGGCTGATCAAGTCGCGCAGCTACACAGAGCAGGGTCGGTTCAGCTACAACCCTCTTCGGACTCGTACGGTCTCGCTGAAGGCAGAGAACAATGTACTTCAGTATGCTATCCCCGGTGGGCTCATCGCTGTTGGCACCACACTAGACCCCACGCTGACACGACAAGATAAGATGGTAGGACATATGATTGGTGAGGAAAATTCACTGCCAGATGTGTATGCAGAATTAGAAGTGCAGTTTTACCTTTTCAACGAAATGGTTGGCACAAAGGCATCCAAGGATGGCAAGACCTCTATCAAGCGCGTTCAAAAGCTTAATCTTCAAGAATCGCTTCAGATTAACGTTGGTACCCTCACGGCTGGTGCCACGGTGCTTAACATTACGGTGAACCCAGATATCGCCAAGCTCGAATTGGTGACCCCTGTGTGTTGTTCACTCGGGGAGCAGGTAGCTATATCACGTATGGTAGATAATAACTTCCGTTTGATTGGCTGGGGAACCATTCGTCGAGGAGTTCCGATGAAACAAGGGGCCTAAAAAATAGCCCGAGTGAAAACTGAATCAAACTTAAAATATCAGCCAGGGGAGTATAAGAATAGTCATACTCTTTATTGCTTTATTGTTTTTGTCACTCTCTAATCATGGTAAGAGAAAGAAGAGCTTTGCTCTTGTTGTACAAGACGAAAGGACATATAACTAGGGAAATGAAATATGGCCTACAAAAAAAAATATGGAAGTATTTTTATCTTTGTTAAATTGATTATTTAATTGCACCTTGATACGTATCTTTCTCAATGTACAGCGTCTTTATTTCACCAGTGGCTACAGCACGATGACGGAAGCAGTAGAGCACGCAAAAAGAACGCGTATTCATCTCCTCGGATTAGATAAAATTATAAATTATATGAAAATGAGTAGGATAATAAAATAATTTACGCTAAATCAGATATGAACATGTTTAAGTTCTATGACGGTACTTAAAAATTCACACTTAGTGATCTATATTAGCAGTATCCTGCTTAGTCTGTCCGCCATTTTTCTTTCCTCTGCATCTCTTTCCAGTGTTGTTTATTATTGGAAAGGAATGCTAACTAATATAATCGATTAAAATATAACTATTAACATAATAATAGTTTTTAAGGGATGTTTTCTCTGTATATTATTCACGATATGGTTGAAATTGAGCCCGTTTACTTCCTAAAACGACTTGGTCGTGACACACAAGCCATTACTACAGCACCTCAACCTTCGATTGAAGAAAGCAGCGGTGGCGTAGCCCACCCCGCGGGGCCACAAGCGGCCTACGCCGTATCTCAAATCATACGGCACCGGCTGACAGAGCGGTATGTGGGACGTGTGGCCCCGCGTTGCGGCTTCTGTGTTGCAATAGGGGACATTTTGGAACACTCCTCCATTGAGGTGAAAGGCCCGTCGGCGTCGGCGTGGTTGGGGGCGGTGTTCGAAGCAGTGGTATTTGCCCCACGGCCTGGGACCCGGCTTCGCGTCACTATCGCGCATCAGAGTGTCGAGGGTCTGCGCCTGAGAGTGGACTTCTGTGCCGCCTTCCCCTTTATTGTGCCAGCGGACCAGCTCGTGCCGCGATCGAGGTATGACTCGGAACAGAACGCGTGGTACGTTTCTGTCGACGTTGATGAGGATGATAACGGCGACGATAACCAAGAGGAATGGTGCGGTGAAAGGGGCGGTCAGACTCGCAATAACGGCGATGCAAATAGGAACTACTATCAAATTGGTGAAGAGGTAGTAGTGCGCGTCACAGCCTGTGTCGTGCTGGATGATGAGAAAGACCTGAACCATAACGGCACAGACTCGTTGAAAGCGCCAGCGGATGCATCAATTGGCAACTCTGCCCCACTCATGTCTTTGTTTGGCAGTTTCCTCGGTGATCTTCTGGGGCCGACCTGCTGGTATGAGTAGGTGTGACAACACTTTCTGTAAAGAGAATCGCATTCCACACGAGTGATGTTCCCACTGTGGGGAAGAGGATATGTCAGAAACGGATAGAGAACACTGAAAGATATCTGTTCTACATCCTACACTCATGATGTTTTGTTTCTTTTACACACCCAACACTAGATTCTGTGGATCATAACAACTATCTGTCTTGAAGAATTTCCTTACTTCTGGTTTTATGTTATATTGTCTCACATAGATCGTGGATGCAGTGAATGAATTGTTCGAGCAATTCTTTTATCAAATGTTTTTTTTATCATACTTCACCATGGTATACGCCCTGAAAACTATTTAAAAAAAGACATAAACAAACTATACAACCTGATCCCATTTATTCCCCTATCATAATTACATTCAACATAATATAGTGCTCTCTGTTTAGTGTAGGCCCTATCAAAATATTATTATCGGGATTATTATTAGTATTAGTATTTTTTTTTTTGCATTGAACTGAAGGGAAACATCACAGGAGTAACAATGGTCACTCCAAACGTTATTGTCTCGCCTGGAAAGTTTAAACTTGTCCTTGGTGTAAACGAAGATTGTACGCTAGTGGTCACAAATGTTGGTTATGATGCCATTATTTATCGTTTACAAACCGTAGCACCGGATCACTATGTGGTGAAACACGCCAAAGGTGTGGTCCGTGGGAACTCAACCATAAAGATCATTGTAACGCTTAATCAGCGCAGTATTCAACAATATGACAAAAATACCGCTGCTGCCAAAATCATTAAGGATGATTTCCTTCTGGAGTACGCCCTTCTAGGTGAGAACGATGTCATTGAGTCAAAGTACGCGAACGTATCTCAGCTTATCAAAGACAAGAAAACAGAGGACCCAAGCTCCGTTCTCCGAAAGATATTGCACTCTCACATATTCCTTGATACAAGCGCAGATGCCACAATGACATCCGACCCCACCAACTCCGCGGTGGAGGAGGACAACCAAGATGTGCGAGCCCTCGCCACTCATCCCCACATCACCCCTTCTGACACTAGTTCTCCTGTCGGACGCAAGGCGGATACAGCGATCAGTGAAAAAGAGCTGTGGAACCAAAAAGAAGTCACAAAAAAAAGCATGGGCTCGATGGAGGCCTCTTCGGCATCTAAGACTGGCCCTGGAGTCGGCCCACGGTTTAACACATTACTTATTCTGGGTGTGTTGATGATAGGAGTGCTGATTTGGATGCTTATGGAATAAACTTATTCATAGTATCAACTTAAGTCATGCCTGGTTCTTACTCCAGAGTAAAAGGGCACTCCTTACAATTCAAAAAAAAGCTGCAATCCACTTCATCGGTCATCAAAGATGACGAGTCGCTTTCGCAATGTAGTCTGGGTTACATACAAAAACACAAACTTAAAAATATATAATGAGCAATGAGCCTTGAGATTATGTTGAATAATTGTATCAACGCTTTTGGTAAGTCGATAGATTTTGCAAGATGAAGATCAAAATAAGTCGGCACAGTAAATTGATCCTCTCGCAGATCGCTGTTGCGACGCCAAGGGGTGAAGTGTAGTTTTAGCATCAAGTCCTCAGCGCAGTCGTCCGGTCTCTAAAAGAAAACCATAAATCCTAACGTATATCCATATGTATATATCGATATATATATATATATATATAGTTGAGAGCCTCAATTACTTTTACTATATCTGATCTTTATAATATTTATTCTCAATAGGGAAACAATAGCGAGATGATTTTTCAAAAGGGCTAATCTGCCCCATTTAGTTCTATCTCTTTGTGTGATAGTTGTAACAATGGAATTCTGCTCATACAGCATACAATCAACTGAATGAAAAGTATAACAATATGTGGCCTTTAATAAAGAAAGTTACACTATGGAACCAGGAGACATATTGTATTATAAAAATTTATTGATAAATATGTATTAGATCAAAATATTTACTATGCGAGTAAATGCATAATAGAAAGAATGTAATCCTTTGAAAAGGTTCCTGTTTTTGTGCGGAGTATAGACTCTCCTTTATGCTTTAAAATTTGCGCAGAAAGTGAATACCATATTCATCCCACCCAAAAAAATCTAGTGGCATGGTGTCAGTGGTGCCTAACTAACCCTATTTCGTATAAACAGAGATTAAAAGGGTGAAAGTAAATACAAACATGCATTTTGAGAAGGATGTTCATACGCAATAATGCGAACTGTTGGATTCAGTAACAACACGTTGTGAAAGGCTGCAAAACAAGGGCAACTCGCGTGTTCTCTTCAGTCACTTGCTTTTGGTTTTATAATTAGCAAACAGAACATCTATAACAAAGTCTTTTATCGCTAAGTAAGATTGAAAGGATCTTATGGAAATGAATAACATAAGAAAATAGCCCCGACGGAAATATATTAATAGATAACTGATTCACCTCGCGGTGCTGCTGCATGAAGCTAATACAAATATCGAACTGGATGTGTATGTTACTTATGGTGACCGAGTAAGGCTTCACATCTATATTTGAAATAACATGTAGAGTGAAGTCTCTTGAAACTTTTCTCGTTCTCTTAGAATTCTTTTTTATCTCCTCATTTTTCTGTACATTTTTTTGACTAAGAGCTAAAACCTGCCCCCTTCCCCCATTCTCATGGGTTCTATTTAATTTAACTTTATTTTATCTATATAAACGCACATATATATATATATATATATATATATATATATATTCACGTGGATAATTCCCCGGTTGAAGTGCTCATACTAATTTGTTTCATAGGACATACTAAAACGCCATTAGCGCAAGCTTCTATTAACCCTGCATTGGTTGTAATTGGTAAGCTATTTTTTTGAGCAATAGTAATGCGCACCCTAAAAAGTATTCGAGGAATTCAAAATGTCCCAATATGCGGAGACAAGGTTGTCAACACCGAAAAAAAGAGTAAACCATCATCAGGGAGTGAGTTGTCTCATTCAACAGTTCCACATCTAGAATCTTCAAGGCGTTTAAATAAGAAGGAAAAACAAAGGCACCATGATACTCTCAAGGAATCAACGCTGCGGTGTGTGGGAAATTATCTGTATAACTTGATATTTCGTCAAGACGAATCTGACAGCCTGGACAATTTTATCGAAATCGATGACAATAACGGTAAATGCGACGCACAGCAGGTACGCCTCTGGTGGATTGTGATGCTTCTAGAGATCGTAGCATTTTTTCGTAAACGACGAGTGTACTTGGGGCTGCTTTTAGTGGTACTGGCCGTGGCGCTGTCATCCCAAGCGCAGGAAGTGTTCGGATCCGTCACAAACCCATTCACCGTAGCCGAGCCAAATCGGCCTGGATTAACGTTTTTAGACAAGTTCAACAGCGGGCGGCCTGAGTTGCCGCGGAAACACCCTGTGATTATCATTCCCGGATTCGTCACGAGTGCGATGGAGCTGTGGGAAGCAAAACAGACTTGTTTGGATAGGCAACCCTCGTTTTCGCAGTCCAGCTTTCGTCAGCGTATGTTCTGCCCATCCATGGTCTTCCTTATTCTAACAGATCCTGCGTGCTGGTTGGATCTTTTCTCTATGGATAAAACGACTGGTCTCGACAAGAAAGGCATCAAGGTGCGGCCAGATTCAGGTCTCACATCTGTTGATTACTTCGTACCTGGTTACTGGGTGTGGGCGAAAGTGATCATTAACCTGGCTGACATCGGCTATGACCCGCAGGACATTATAGTCATGACATACGACTGGCGTCTTTCACCACAAAAAGCGCATGAGCGCGATGGCCTCTTCTACAATATTCGCAACTCCATTAAGCTTCAATATGAAAAATTTCAAGAGCGCTTAGTTGTGATTTCCCACAGCTATGGCACCCCGGTGGCTCTGGAGTTCTTCAAGTGGGCAGAAAAGGAAGAAAAAGGCTTTATGGATAAATATGTCGCCTACTACATCAACGTCGGCGGAACTGTGTTGGGCCTACCAAAGGCCGTCTCCGCACTTCTGCAAGGTGACGTCAAAGATACGCTCACAATGCCGCGGTCCGCCCGCCGTGTCCTTGATACATTTATAACACAGGGTGCACGATATAATTGCACAAGGACATGGAGCTGTCTAACTGCTATGTTGCCGCATGGCTGCGAAGACGAGAATCCACAGTTGTGGACCTTTTCCAACGGGACGATTCTCGGTATGCACGAAATGGCTGAGATGGTGATTCAAGAGTGCGAGTGCACTGGGCACATCGACTGCGCTCAGCAGATGCGACAGTACCGTAAAACCCTCGATGAGCTGCCTGTGCTTCCACAGGCCCCCAACACCACCGTGGTGTGCCTATACGGCGTCAACAAGACAACAGAGGTAGGTTACCGTATCGAGGACACCAGGGACAGCAATGGAATTTGGAAGACGAATATGGACTACAACGACGCCCACACCAGCCAGGGGGTTCATCTTGGCAATGGCGACGGGACAGTACCAATCCTGTCGCTTGGGTACATGTGCAGGGCACCGAACGGGTGGCGGCAGAACGTGGGCCGTGTCGTGACTGTGGAATACCCAGACGATGCGCAGAACGGGGTGTTAAGCCTGCGTGGTGGGACCATCAGCGGTGACCACGTGGACATCCTTGGTAACTATGAATTTATCGAAACTATACTAAAGGTTGTAAGTGGGATGGACGCTGTGAATCAGGAGGGGAACGACACGCTTAGAAGCGCTAATCCTGCTGTGAATAGCACAGAACGTATGGAAACTCGACTTAAAGACGTGATATTTTCAAACATCGATGCGCTTATCCAACAAAATCAAAAATGTCTAGCCAAGCTAAACCGCCCTATTGAATAAAACGCATTTGATCCTGAAGTTCGCACCTCTCTGTAGTATCCAACAACAACAACAAACACACACACACACACAGCAATAGAAAGAAATGGCAGGGGCCTCCCTTCGGGAGATGGTGCTGGTATCAGAAAAGTTGAAAATATCAAAAAAAAAGGAAATAAATAAACTAGTAGAGTACCTCGGTGGATCTGCGGTATAAAGATATCGTACTATCGGCCACCTATATGAAAATCCAAAATCCTTTGTCAACTTTGAGTTTCTCATTTCTTTCGTGTATTTCTTTTTTTTCCTTTATATTCTTGCACATGTGATCTTCTGCTGAATGAAACCGTATATATTTTGATACGAAGCTTTAAGATAATAATTACAAGTAAATATTAATAAAGCCAAAAGCATCCTTGTAGGGAGGATTCTATAGCAAGCTTGTCTGTTTGCTGAGCTATAAAGATGAACGTTAGGGGAGGCGATGAGAAGCAGTCAGGTACAACTGATCCATTGCCACATTTTGCGTCAAAGAAAAATGTAAGCATACGGAAACGCTTTTTACCAACCTTCATGTACGAATATGGGCGAAGCGTATACGGTGGCAACCCGCTATTGCAGCAGACTCTTCCCGCTCCTTTCGTTCCGACACACCCGGTATTGTACATTGTATTGTTTTTGTGTTCCGCAATTCTTTTCTTATCAATGGGCACAATAATACTAGTTAAAAGTTCGAAAAGCCACGTTGTCGAGGAATATTACAGCCAAATTCATCGTTATCAATATACACCAAGTGACCCTATGGTTAACATCAATGAGGGTTTGCGTTCATTTGTGGTAGACGGTGTTACCTACAAGCAGGGAACAATGACACAGCTACGTTTCAATGTAAAAAAAGAAATGAAGGCACCCGTGTATATGTATTATAAAATTGATAATTTATTTCAAAATCATCGTTATTTCAAAACAGGACGTTCTAGATCGCAGCTCTCAGGGAGTATAAACCCTGGTGAAATGTCCAATTGTCACCCCTATCTTAAGCCTGGAGGCGTGAATAAAAGCGGTGAGGATGTAATAGTTTCATATGATGGACAGGAACGAAGAGCATATTCTTTTCAATACAATCCATGCGGTATCGCGGCGTGGTCCATGTTCAACGACACGCTGAGCCTCTTCAAGGTCATGCACTCGACCTCCACCGCGCCAAACAATGTCCCGATCTCGAAGAGCAGCAGTACCAGCAACCTTAATGTTCAGTTACTTTGCAATGGCACAGATTTCGACGCGAAGGGCAACCCCCTTGGGAAAAGTGTGACACAAAACGGCTGCTCTAAGAAAGGAATCAGCTGGCGTTCAGACACAGAAGTGAAGTTTAAGAATCTCACCGTCGGTGAAAGATGGTGGTCGCTTTACTTCCCCTATACTACAAATAACACCTACCTTAACAAGGGCTGGTATCTCAATGAGCCCGGACATTCCCTACCGGACCCTCTCGATTTGGATTTTCAAGTGTGGATGAGGGATGCCGTCTTGCCGAATTTTAGAAAACTGTACCGCATCATAAATGTGGACCTCACTCCAGGAACCTATTTACTACAGGTCGAAGAATTCTTCGACGTTGAAACATTTGGGGGTCAAAAGGGGTTCGTCCTGCGTCCACACGGCTTGGGTGGAGTCGAAGAATTCGGTGTAGGTATAGCGTTTCTCATAGTCGGATCACTTTCCTTTGTGTTAAGCATATCATATCTGGTTGATTGTATCCTACGAAAAGAAAAGAAGGATGCTGTCTCCATGCTAAAAGAACCAAGACGATCATGGTATCACTATGATCCAAGTGCGCCAGAGTTTGAGAAATATTATCAGCTCCTCATCGAGAGGAGCGTGCCCATTGAGGAACTAATCGCTCTCCGTAAGATGCAAGACCCCAGATCCCGTAGCACTACAAGCAAAGATACGGAATGATAAGCAAAGTTTCATATTACAAACTTTTCCTGATTAGAATACTGATTCATTGAGTTTTGATTTAACAACTAATAAAAAAAAGGAGCATTATGCCTTGAAAACAAACTGGCCCCATTGGTGATTAATTTCTTTTGCTGGGCGATTTCTTCTAGTAATTAACGTTTTCTTCTATAGTTTTTTGAAGGGAAAAACTCCGATACCGGGGATCGAACCCGGATTTCCTGGGTGAAAGCCAGGTGTTCTAACCATTATACTATATCGGACACCGCTGAAGCAAGTAAAATATCGCAGTACTTAATTTCAAGCATTGACGAAAAGTTACGACGGGCGGGGATTGAACCCGCGATCTCTCGCGTGTGAGGCGAATGTCCTAACCACTAGACGACCATCGCATGATAGGCCGACATGGAGTAATGGTATGCTTTACAAAAGATTTCGACAAACGATTTGTTTGATCAGCAGCGACGTTGTGGCGCAATGGAAGCGCGTCGGATTCCGGATCCGAAGGTCGCGGGTTCGACCCCCGTCAGCGTTGTGCTTTTTTATTTAGAGCCATTGTACAATCCACACCGTGTCAGCCCCACGGAAATCGCGGGGAGATAGTTCAGTGGCAGAACATCAGATTGTGGCTCTGAATACCCGGGTCCGATTCCCGGTCTTCCCTTTTTTTTTTCGCATCTGGCGACGCCTCTTAAACCGAACCCGAACCACTGCGCGACACCAAACTTTCTCGCGAATATTCAGCGCTAATTTACTCATTCTGACTCCACTCTTAGTCTTTGCTCCAGAATTCTATTGGTGTAATAGTAATAAAAAAAAAAAGAGGACGAGAATAGTCAAACTAACATTCTGACTAAACTTTTGAGTCTTCCCTTGTAAAGCAAGGATAACATGGATATATAGAATAAAATATTTATTATCCCTTGGAACAATTGATTAGCGCCGCTAATCCCTACTCGTTAATTTAATCTTCACTGGCTAACTATTCGACAACCTTACTAATGCAGTACTAATAATAACAAAGAGCGTTGTCGATATAAGGAAATTACTACCATTTCTGAAATTGAAAAGTAAAATTATATCTTTATATTACCACAAACGCTCCATTTTACACAACGACAATGGGTTTTACAGGAGATGCAGCAGACAGGTAATCTGAAACAGTCGCCTCTCCGCCGGTTCTTCCCTTTTGAATTTGATTAAGCGTTTCCACTGTTAATGCAGTCGCTGCTGATATATATATCGATGTATTTAGGTTCTACGCACGCAGAGTAATTAACATTAATAAGCGTTAACTTATCTTTTCTATTTGCTAAACATCTGAACATGCTCTGTCAAGAGCAATTATGTCAGAAAAGTAAAGGATTCAAAAAACGTGTGGAGATTGTACACATGTTTTCGCCACTCTCTCGTGGGAGTTTCCCAACGGATCAGTGTTGTTATCCCATCTTTGACAAAAATATATACGTCACCCCGAACCTCAAGCTTCTTACCTGGAACAACTTCTTGCATCTCCTTTGACGTAAACTTCAAGCATTGTTGGTCCTTCTCGATGAATAACATAAGGTTGCTGATGTCTTCATCTTCCGACTCTGACTTAATCCGTGCATACCACTCCTCGATAGAGGACATGCAGTCCGGGTCGTTTTCTGGTGAACCGATGCGTATCGTCACGGTCGGCCCCTGCTCTTCTGGGGCGATCTCCTTGGTGATGTCTTGGGAAAAACCTAGCGGCGCATATACGACCGTCCCGACGCCCAGTTTTGTCGACACAACGCGGCTGCCGCTAATCACATCAAAGGAGTATTTGTATTCCGGGCAATAATAAGTGGCTCCGCCGTGGGGTTTCGGGTCTTCGGTGCTTTCCTCGACACTCTTAATGGTATTCACAAGGACAGATTCGGGAATGTAAGAGATGGCCTTCTGTAAAGGTTTCACAACCAGTACGTAGTTGCCATATCGAACCTCCTTTCGCTCTTGTACGCCATCAAAAATAGACTGGATCACAACGCCGTCCACCGTTGTTTCCTTACGAGGTTTACACTCGGCTTTAGGTACACAATCGGCATTGTATAGCAGAATTTCCTCTCGCTTAACGCTGGAAAGTTGCTCAAAACGCACCAGGACGTCCGGGTAGGCATCAGTCCCAGTTACCGGCCGTTCCCAGCTCCACATCGTGTCGATATCGACGCTAATAGAGCCTGTATTAACCTTAAGATAGCCCAGTGCGCAAGTGTCCAATGTCCTGATCTCCATGTCACGCGCGATTTGTATGAATACAGGTCTGTTCTGATAGACGACCGTGGGACTGCACATAATCTGGAACACATACGCAATTCCATTACGAACTTCAATAAGATTGACCACTGAAATATCAAAAAAAGGGGGCATGCTTTGGGTATACTCTATAATATGCCGGAAAGGCCCCTCGTTCACAGCAGCGTCTCTGCGCAAGACCGGCTCAATGGTACCACCTGTTATTGTGTGCATCTGATGCATGGAAATACTCTTAGAACGGTCCTTAAATTCTGTCAAGTTTAAATTCTCAGCGCGAATATCCTCAACAGAAAGAATCATCATTGGGACACTTCCAGGTACACTGGACGGTGGCAAATCAGCGAATTCGGGATTGAATACCGTTACAATTGCAATGTTAGGAACCGGGGATACCTCCTCTCGCAGCTCCCAACCGTCCGGCATTCTCATAGAAACACCCAGGCGATCAATAATTCGGCGGTTCCTGTCACTAGCAACGCCACTATTTACAGAGACGTTCCCCGCAGATAAAGTTGGTGCCAATGCTGCCGGGTTGCTTATCAAGGGAGAGATCTTCTTTGGTACAAGCTCATCAAGAGACTCTTCAATAATCGCGGCCCCAAAATCGTCCGGCAAAGGCTTCGCAGCGGAAGTGGATCTATCCTTATCAAGTTCATTAATCGTCGACTTCGTTAACGATGAAACAACAAAAGCGTTCGAATCATCATCATCATGAGATAAGCGCTTACGTTTTAACAGAAATGCGGCTGTAGTACCAAATACGACAGCTGACACGGCTACCACACCGCAAAGTGTAATGATTTTAGTTTTGGGGAACTGCATGTAGAAGTAAAAAAATCTGATAGTAAAGGAAGAAAGAAAATGAAAATATATAAAAAATATATATAACTACAAAAAGAAAGAGGGAAAGGGAAAATACTTAATAAACAATAAGAAACTAAATAAAAGAAGTAATTATAACCTGTAAAATAAAATAAAGACAATTCAAACAAACACATAC